TGTTCACGGCTCACTTGTTGTCACTCCACCACCACTCCCCGTTACGCGCACGCCCCCCTCCCCCCTGTCTACACAGACTGACCTCATACCGCCCGCCCGCCGCCCCCCCGCAACTGTCCTTCTTTGCACATATCTGTGTATCGGTTGTGGTCATTGCTGCGCTATCTTAGGCTGTCACCTCTAATCTGCTCAAAGCTGATACCTGCGTGCCTCCTCCACTCGCTCTACCTCTCTCTCTCTCTTTCTCTCGCGCGCGTGCTCGCTCGCACCCGCATTCTCGGCTGCTGCCGTTATCGCCATCACTATCTGTCGTCGCCGCACCCACCTTGCACCATCGCTTTCTCTCGCTCTTGCTCTCGCTCCCCTTCGACTCGACTGGTCCCGCTCCTGCTCTGATCGACACTGTCCATCAATTGCTGCCACTCCGCACTCGTACCATCTCTGGTGGTTTCTCCCTTTGTGAGGCGGACACTCCAACTGTCGTCATTACGCACCGCTGATTACACTGCGATCGTGATCACGTTCATACTCTCGCGCCAACATGGGAAACTCACACTCGGACGCGCTGTCTCGGGCGGCCGAAACGCTGCATCTGGATCTCGCGGCGCTCAATCTGGAAACGCTGCCGCGCAAGGCGGTGCGCAAGTCTAATCTGACCGCAAGCCTGACGTCGGCAAACGTGGCGCGGAACAGGCTGGGCGTCTTTCCGTGGGAGCTTGTGGCGGCCGCCTCGTCGCTCGTCTCGCTGGATCTACAGCACAACGATGTAGCCATGGTCCTCCCACCGCCCGCCGACTTTGCCGCCCATACCGCGCTCACTCACCTTAACCTAACCCGCAACAAGCTGGCCGCTGTCGGGGTTGGCACGCTCGAGATTGTCTTTCCGGCGCTCGTCGAGCTGCTCATGGGCTCGAACAGGCTGACTCAGGTCGGCTTTCTGCAGACCCGCTCGTCAAGCTCGCTCTCGACCTCGTGGTCGCACACCCTCAAAATCCTTGACCTCTCGCACAACAGCATTCGCGCTTTGCCCGACCTGGCGCAGCCGCTGCCGGAGCTCCAGGTCCTCAACCTCGGGCACAACCACCTCGAGGTACTGCCCGGTGGATGGATTGGGACCATGCGCTCGCTGCACACGCTCCGCCTTGAAGCCAACGAGATTGTTGCCGTCCCCGATGACCTGGAGGCTGTCGGCGGCTCGCTCGCTGTCCTGGTTCTCTCGCGGAACCGCCTCACCGAGTTTGACGTTGACCTCGGTGTGTTTGCCACCCTCCTCGAGCTCCGGCTCGACCTCAACTTTCTGGATCAGCCGCCGCGCACGCTGGGTGCCGCGCCGCTGCTCACCGTCGTCACACTTGCCGGCAACCCGCTCAAGGGTGGCGTAGCTTCGCTTGCCAAAGAGGATCCCACCGACGGTCGGTCGAGGACGCCGCGCAAGCACCGCCCGTCGGACTCGCCTCCCACAAACGGCCCACACGCCTCGTCCGGGAGCTCGCCGTTTGCCCACTCGGCCTCGGCCCGCAACCTCTCGCTCTCGACCACGTCATCGGCGCTGCAGGGCTTGACTCCAACCGCGGCATCGCCCAACGAAGTCGACTTTGCGCCTGCAGGCTCATCCAAACACGGGTCGCGCAACCCAGGCACGGCCTCCTCCGGCCGTCAGCGCGCGTCGTCAATCTCGGCCCGCACCGGCGGCTTTACCGACGAGCCAGACTCGCCACCCATTGCCGCCACCTCACACACCACCACCAAGTCGGCGTACACATACACCGGCCTCTCGCGGAAGACTTCGATGCCCAACCTCAACGCGGCTGGCAAGGTTGCTCGCTCCAGCCACCCCAACCGCCGCCCGCGCCGCCGTCGGCGCCGCGCCAACAAGGCCCTGCCGTTTACCCAGCTTTCAATGGCACGCTGCGGCCTCGAGCGGCTGGAGCTCTCAGGCCTGCCGCGCCTCTCGCACTGGGCCGCGCTCCGCGTTCTTGACCTCACCCGTAACGCGCTCACCACCCTCCCGTCACAGCTCCACCACCTGCACACGCTCGAGTACCTCAACGTCTCACACAACGCACTCACCGCCTTGCCGGCCTGCCTCGGCTCGCTCCCGTCGCTCACCGCAGTCATCGCTTCGTTCAACAACCTCAACGACGCCGGCCTCCCGATCGAGCTCTTCTGCTCGGACACGCTCGAGCGGCTTTCACTCGACTACAATCGTCTGACGGCGCTCCCGGACGCACCGGCCAGCGCTCACGACCTGCCGGAGCTGCCAAACCTTATTACGCTCGCTATCTCGGGCAATGCGCTCACGACGCTGCCAGCCTGGGCCGCCGGCGGCCTGCCGGAGCTCAAGGTCTTCCGGGCTTCGTCTAATTCGCTTGATGCCATTCCGCGGCCGCTCTACGACTGCCTTTCCCTCGAAGTGCTTGAGCTCTCCAACAATGCCATCACCAAGATTGACGGCTCACTCACCCGCCTCCACATGCTCCGCGAGCTCAACTTGTCCGGGAACCCGCTGAGGATTCTGCCGGACGCGCTGGCAGAGATCAAGCGCGTGCAACATGTTGCAGCCCGATTCTGTCCGCACCTCTCAGTCATCCACCCACGAGTCGCGACCATGCTCCGTGGCTCCACCGTCTCACTCTGCGTTGACGGATGCCCGCGGCTGGAGCTCTCGCGGCGAATGTCGGTCGGTGAGCTCCCGGCATGGCGGGCGGCGTTCCTCTCACACTCGCACGCTGTTGTGCTTCCTCCACCTGAAGACGGCTCACCGTCGGCCCGCGGTGTTTGCTCTGACGTGGGCATCGCTGACATGGTCGGCGATCGACCGTACATGGAAGATGTGTGCCACATCGAGCTGCTCGAGGTTCCCGAGCGCGGGAGCGTGTACTCGTACCTCGGCGTGTTTGATGGCCACGGTGGCCGGCTGACGGCGGTCTGGCTCGGCTCAAACTTTCATCGCATCCTTGCGGCGCGCCTTCGCGAGGCTGCGGTGTCTGAGGAAGAGGCAATGCGCCTTGCGTTTGGCGACGCTGTCGAGGCGCTTTCGGACATGCGCGACGGCGCTGCCGCGGTAGTTGCTCTCTGGGCCTCGGACCGCATCATTCTTGGCAACGTCGGCGACTCGCGCGCCGTTGCTGTCCTCTCTGACGACACGCCCGACTACGCCGCGTCGTCGTTCAAGGAGTCGTACGGGACGCTGGACAAGTTCCACCGCCCGACCCACGCTTCACGAATGGTCCGCGACCCGCGGGTTGTCCGACTCAGCATCGACCACAACGTCGGCAAGCTGCCGTACGACGAGTACGATCGTATCAGGGCCGCCGGCGGCTTTGTCACACCCGACGGCTACGTCAACGACTCAATCAACCTCGCGCGGTCGCTCGGCGACTCGCTCAACGTATCCACTATTTGCACCGAGCCGCACGTCGTCTCGGTTCCCTCGCTGCACGTCGAGGCTCTCATCATGGGCTCGGACGGAGTGTGGGACGTCATCGACGACGTTTCGGCGGCGGCAGTTGTCCGCGCGCCGTCAGCCGCGCTCAAGTCGGCACTCGAGCTTGCGCTTGAGCTCCGTGACAAGGCTTACCGCGCCAACTCGACTGACAACATCACCGCACTTGTTGCGCTTTCGCGGCCGCTTGTTCTCGAGAGCGACGAGTCGTGCAGCGAGTCGGGTGAGCTGGATGAGCTGGCGGCAGCGGCGGCGGCCGAGAGCGATGTCGCCAGGTCGCCGACGGCGCCGCTCGCCATCCCGCCGCGGCGTCGGATGCGGCGGCGGCGGCGTCCGCGGCCAGACGAGAGCCACTCCGACGACGACGAGAGCTCGAGCCGGAGCACCGAGGGCATGATGACCCCGCGCTCGCTCCGGGTTCCGCGGCCCGACCCGACGCTCTCGCCGATGACGCCGTCTTCGCCGCTCCCAGCGCACATCCGCACTGCGCTCGCCGACCTCGACACGACCATCACCTCGGGCCACTTTACCTCGGACTTTCACACCGACACAACCGAGACGACAGACGACGACTGGTCCAGCAGCTGAGGCTGGCAGCTTGCAGCTAGAAGGCACCGCTGACGGCGAGGGCGCGGGCGCGTTCGCGGGCGCGAACTTGTGCCCGCACGTAGGCAATGCGGTGGTAGGTCGAGGCCATTTCGCGGATCGACTTGGCCTCGAGCGGCGTCTCGGTGTACATGATGTGGTCCTCCCAGTGCGATGGGGCGGCGCCAAGGAGCGGGTCGACCTCGCCGTCCTTGACAAGCACCGTGAGGGTGACGGCGGCCGGCGTGACATCGATGCGGAGGTCGCGGTAGGAGAAGACGTGCAGCTTCTTAAAGTGAGTTGCGGTGAAGACGACGATGCCTGCGGGCGCGACGCCGAGCAAGAGGTCGCGGTCGTCGTCGGAGAGAACCTTGAAGTAGGTGATGCCAAAGGTGGTGAGGTCCATGGCGCGGATGATGTACGCTTTTTGGGCTTCGACGTCCGAGCCGACGTCACCCATCTTGCGGAAGCGGGAGAAGACCATCGTGGCCCACTCGCGGTCCTTGCGCTTTGGGCGCAGCCAGGTCGGAATGTAAGTGCCGAGGCCGTCGGCGACGATCATGCTCACGGCGTGGGCGGAGCGGTCATAGGCGCCGTTCTCCACAAAGCACGAGAATGCGGCAAACTCGATGGCCTCCTCCTCGGTGACCAGGTAGTAGCCGTCGAGAATGAGCTGGCGTACTTGGTGGAAGATGGCCATGACGGCGTGATCGTCGTCCTCGGCGGCGATGGACGCATCGGTGATGAAAAAGTACCGCATCTTGAAGACCAGCTTGGTCCGCTTGGTCACAAACTGGTCGACCAGCGGCCGGTTCATGTCGAGCCAGCGGTCGTTGTCGAGCGTCGACTCACAGAGGCCAAAGCCGGCGCGGTGGGTGATCTGCAGCCGGTCAGCATACTCACGAAAGACTTTGTCTCCGGTTGTTGTCTGGGTCACAGCAATCGACTCGCGGAGCTCGCCAGAAGGCAGGCTGACGGCGACCGAAAAGGCGGTGCGCCGGCGGTGCGACGCGCCGGGCGTCGAGACCTTGCCGATGAAGAAAAAGTGTTGGTAACCTCCCAGGACTTCGCGGGCGTGCGCCATTGGCTCGACAGAGAGCTCGGCGAAATCATGCCCATCAAGTGAGTCGTTGTCAGCGCCCACCTTTGCGGCCTCGAACGAGAGGATGCGGCCGGAGGAGAGGACGACGTCGAGGGTGCCGGCATCGTAGGTAAAGGCGTCGATGTCGGACTCAAAAGTGTGGACCTCGAGCGGAAGCGGGAGAGTGTCTGCCGATGCGGCGTCCCAGGCCGCGGCGTCGTACACTGCTAGGCCTTGCGGGAGGATGGCGAGCGATCGGACTGGCGCGGAAGCGCGGCGGCGGGCGTCAACAAGGGCGCCCATCGCGCCGTCACCGTCGCTGAGCTCATCGCCCGAGTCGGCTGATGACGGCGCGGCGGAGCCGACAGCGGCGGCCGCCGACGAGGACTGGTGAACGTGAAAGACGATGGAGCCATAGCCCGCAGCGAGCGTGGCGTACTCGCAAAAGTTGATCATGGCGAGCGTCCGGCGCATGCCGGCGTACTCTTTGTAGTAGCGAAAGATGGTGCGGGTGACGGCTTTGCGCGCCTTTTTCGACCGCGGGATAAAGCTGGCTGGGAGGATGTGGCCGAGCGAATTGGCGAGCGCGCTGCGGTCCTTCTCGCGAGCCTTAGAGTAGGAGCCGAGCCGGATGTGGACCATGAACGACGCAAGCTTGTACGCCTGTTCGGCCGTCACCTTCCACACGTGCGAGAAGATCTTGATGGCAATGTCGACGTAGTAGAGTTGGACAGCCCGGACGCAGGTGCACTCGGCGACGTCGGCGGTGTAGAGCTTGACCATCAGCACCAGCACGTCGCCCTCCTTCACTCCCTGTTCCATCACCTTGACCTCGTCGTGAATCCACTGCAGCTTGAGCTGCGGGATGGCAGTCGCATGGTCTCCACCCTGGCTGCTTGCGTCAGGTGCAAACTTGCGGGCTCGCGGCGTCGGGCTGGTAGATGCCTCGTCGACAGCGTCGGGCATGACCAGCCGCGCTTCGACGGCGTCGAGGTAGCGGGCAAAGGCGTTGCCGCCGCCGATGACCTTGGCCAGCTGAAAATGCTCCCACTCAATGAGCTTGAGCTTCTCGGCAAAACCCTTGAGAAGAAACTCGCCGCTGACCAGCTCGTGGAGCTGGACCCGCCGCTGGACCGAGCCATCGGGGGTGACTAGATGGACCATGATCCACTTGCGCGGCGCGCCTTGGGTCGGCATCGCCTCGCGAGCCTTTCGGCGCTCCAGCTCATCCAAGTGTCTAGTCATAGCCATCCGCTGCCGTTCATCCAGCCGGCGCTGGATCCGCTCCTCGGGAGTCAGATCTTCCTCGTGTTCCTGGCCAAGCACATCACCCTTCCGGCCTGCACTGCCAGGATGAAACGCGGCTGCCGCCATAGCCACCGCCGAAAACGACGTCGCACTCGATGCGCCTGTTGTCGGCATCGATGTGGTCTGCTGCGAGTGGACCAGCTGGAGCGAGTTGCCGAGCGGCTGCGATGCGAGAGCGTTTTCGTCATGTGACATGGCGCGAGTCATGGAAGAGGTGGCCATCTCCTGCGATTTGACCTTTCTCACCATCGCCCCATTCGTCCGACCTGCCAGATCCTCCCTTTGAGCCAGCGAGTCGGCGCCGCCCAAGGCCCCGTCGTCCACAATACGGACCAGGCGCTTCTTCTTGGTCACCGTCTTTTTCTTCCCCTTTACCAATCGCTTCTTGTGCACCAGCCGCCTTCGCTTGCCGTCCTCGCACACTACCACAGGCATGCTCTCCCTCTCGCCGTGTGGGTGGGTGAGGGGGGGAGTCGAGTGTGTTGTCTGGTGTAGGGAGGGGGAGGTGGTTTTGGTTGCGATGTCTCGGTGCTGCCAATGCCAACGATTATTGAGACCAACGATTATTGAGACCAACGATTATTGAGACCAACGATATGGAGACCAACGATTATTGATTGTCGAGGCCTTGGGCGATGACGGGCTCGACCAAGGCCTCGACTAGTCGTGTGCAAGGCAGGTGAAAGGACTGCTGGTGCAGATGGCTCATGCTGGTGTACATGCTGTTGACTTGTTGCCCAGAATGATCGTCAAGAATGGCGAGATTAATCATTGTCTCCTACCATTCATCGTTGCCAGCCTCCAACTCGCTACGCTCAGTACTTGGCCACTCGGCAGCACTGAGCTGCAGAGCCAGACACTGCGCTCGCCTTGTGTCTCCATGTCGGGGTTCAAGAAGGACGATGACGGTACGACCACAGATTGTCCCCCTTCTTCCCCATGCCCACCTCCCTCTCCTCATCCCTTCCCTCCCTCCCTCCCCCCCCCTCCCCCCTCCCCCCTCCCCTCTCCCCCCCATGCGCGCCACCCCCCCCATGTGCCAGACGACGTGGCGACCGTCTGTTTTTTGCCCGCACCGACACCAGCTAGCCCACTACCTCTACAGCCAATCACAACGCAACTATCCAGCGCAAATACATCCCACCTCCACCACCTCTACCCCTTCTACATCCCTACACTCTTTTCCCGCTCCCATATCCCTCCAGTATCCCCACTAGCCCCCCCCC